GCTGCCATTTGTTCAGAAGCACAATTCCAGAGCAGTGTCTCTTTACATTTTCATATTNGACAGACCTCCTTTGACCATACACGTTCTTTGAAGATCAGTGTATCGTGTCCCCGTACACCACCTCATCAATGAAATGCATCACACTACCATCAGAAACAACTTAATTAATTGGGAGTTTACTTTCCATGTGCTTTCTCCTTCAGCGGCGGCTCCCGTAGTTTCGTTGCTGTAGCAATGAGCCCAGTACAAGGGCTGAATTTACTGTTGTTGCTCGGATTCCTATTTACGGGCGAGTTTCTGCTTCCACACGTTGGAAACAGCAACCAAAAAACTGGCCTCGAGATATGTTTGCTATCCCTTCGTACACTTTGACAAACTGCATCAATACTGGAAAGATTTTTTGTGGGTGAGATTCTGATGCACTTGTGGATGCCAACCTGTACGGATTCCACCTCTCTACCATTGGATGAAATCGGCGTAGATGCTAGCCACTTTGGCGGAAGATTCGCATACTCTCAAAATCAACAAAGCCCACCACTTCCCAGGGTTGTGCGATGGGCATTACCCGTTTGTGAAGGACACAAACATGAGCATCTCATCACCAGTACCTCTTCACACGTGATGAGCCGAGCACTCAGATTGATCATATAGCCGCAACCTATGGTCACCTATGTCGTATTCAGGGCTGCATCTACTCTTTCGAACATGTGTATGGAAACCCATCATGCCGTGGTGTAATGACTTTAATTCTTCACTGTGTGTCTCAAGCTAATCATCCAAAAGAGCATTTAAGCGGAAGAACCATAATTACAGTTTTGAAGGCCCAAAACGAGCCCAGGTCACATTAACGAGTGTTATTCAAAGCCTACAAAACACCAAATTTCCAGAAATTCAGATGCCTTCTGGATGTGGCTTGGGCAGCTCAGTCTTCAGCCGAAACTGAAGCACTATATTCTGTCGCATCCACATTTTTAACCAATGAGAGGGCGGTTGAAGTTGGATCGGCAAGCCTCTCGCCATCGACCAATCAAACAGCACTCAGCCTTGTTGGCCACTGCTGCGCCATTCCCGGAGCGTCCCGCAGTTTCGCTGCAGTGTACCACCATATACATCGCTCACATCCGTGTTACAACTGGGATCTCAGAGACCGACGAAGACACTAGTCACTACTGTGTCATTCGCCGCGTGTACGACTCGGTCGTCCAAATCCAAAATCATGAGAGAAGACTGGCACCTACCTCCGACAGTCCTGCCGCTAGTCATGGAGTGACGAGGCGGAGAACGAGGGGATGAAAAAGAAAGCATTGGAACATCAGAAATGTCTTGGCTTTGCCTATCTACTCTTCTGTATTCGGCGAATAAGGGCGAAGTGGTATGGGGTTGTTTGTCACCGTGTGACTCTGGGTTTTATATCGGTTTGGATACTGCCAAGGTTCCCCTGTCCGAACGGTAGGGCATTCCGGGTCCTCGGACGCTGCCATTTGTTCAGAAGCACAATTCCAGAGCAGTGTCTCTTTACATTTTCATATTTCAAGAGCAACTTTCCACAATTTCCAACCCAAAATTTGGGGAACCAGGAATCATCCACCTTCCATACTGGACTCAGGTGTCACAGGTACACTACTCAGCCTAGCTCGATGTGTTGAACCGATAAAAATATGTCATACCGCGATAAGTCCATCAGCAGCAGTTGTAAATTCTCCCGGAGGCCATCGCCTCCGATACTCGACTGTCTCCCACGCTCTTCTATTTTCCACTAACAAAAACTGTAGCAGCCGGTGCCAGATTACCCTTGGTACATGGTTCATATCTGCTAAACTGACTGACCACATATTTATCTTCCAGTAATTTCTGGATCACCACTATGCATATAGAATAAAAGTGATTTTTATTTCCTCAGATCTGAAAGTGGCGTTCGATCAACTAATCGCAATACCAGGTTAACCGGCTGATCAAAGTAACGTTGCCGCGCTTTTTGGTATGTACCTCGCACCTTAAGAGCTCAGAATAGTATTCCAAGATTGTGTTAGCTAACTAAAAACTGTAGACAGATTTGCCTTTTCGGTCGGGTCGAACGGTAGCATCCCCCACTAAGTCAAGACCGGAGTCTCTAAAAAAAAACCGATCTGATTTCCTTCACCTTAGACGCCTGCAGAATTGGGCATGTCGACGCTCATCCCTATCTTCAAAAAGGATACGTGGACGCTGTGTGAAAACCACCGTGGCATCAACCTGATAGCTATGGCATCAAGGGTGTTCTCTGGCCTTATCCTTCGACTGAACATAGGGAGAGGCAGATCCGTGAAAACCAAGCTGGGTTCCATCCTGCAACAGGTTGCATCGATGACATCTTCACCCTTCTGGAACAGCGACACTGCTTCTAGCAGTCAACGATGGTTTTTTCTTGGTCTGAAAGCTGCCCTCGGCTCTGGACCGTCAGGCACTATTGCATTGTCTGTGGAGCACAGGTGTCCCCCATAAATTCCTGACCCTCCTTAGGGTGCCTTTCGCCAACTCCTGCGGCCGTGTGAAGGTTTACGAGGAGCTTTCGCCTGAGTTCACCACATCAAGTGGCGTCTGACAGGGCTGTCCCTTTTCACATTTCCTCTTCAACTTCGTCATTGATACGATCACAGAAGACTCACTATCAGCCTCTAATGCCTGTGAGGTCGAAGTGTTCTCAGGGCTTCCGCTCACAGACATCAAGCACGCAGACGTCATAGCTCTTCTGGGATCTGACCCCATGATAATGCAAACAATATTAACCAATCTAAATAAAGTGTTCTCATTCCGCTCACAGACATCAAGCACGCAGACGTCATAGCTCTTCTGGGATCTGACCCCATGATAATGCAAACAATATTAACCAACCAAAATAATTCTGCCTCGCGATTCGGCATGCGCTTCACACCTGCAAAGTGTAAAGTGCTACTGCAAGACTGGGTGGGCTCGAACCCTAGCCTCATGCTTGCGGATGAACCGATTGAGGTAGTAGACAAATTTGTTTACCTGGGCAGCTGTATCAGTCCCAGTGGTCTGGCGAAAGATGCCATTTCCATCCATACTAGGAAGGCCACAGCAACTTTTGTGAGCCTGCGTCACCTGTGGCGTAGGTGTGACATCAGCTTCTCTGTCAGGGGTCGAGTTTACAATGCTGCGGTGCGCTCCGTAGTACTGTATGGATCAGAAACCTGGCCACTACGCGCCGAGGACATCAAAAGACTTTCAGTGTTTGACCATCGATGTCTTCGGATCATTGCCCGACGGATCAGCAATCCGTCGAATGGTATTTGAGAGAAATGACTCACCTTCGGTAGATGAACTGATCACACTGCATAGGTTGTGCCCGGGTTGGGCTACGTGCTGCGTATGCCAGTCGACCGACTTCCTCGAAGGGTTCTTTTCGCACATCCACGTGAAGGGTGGAAGTGAGCCAGAGGCAGTCAAACGACTTGGCAGCAAAGTGTCAAGGCCATTGTCATCAAACTCAGCTGCGTTGGTCATTGCTGTCTTCCTGGATGGACACCCCGAGACGGGCCATATCAATGGTTAGAGACATTGTCAGACATGGCCCAATTGCGCCCTCAATGGCGCTCGTGCATCCAAGCTATTACCTTCAATGCATAGCTCCCTTCCTAATCCCCCTACTTAACAGTCCACCTACAGTGCTGTATTTACGCACTAATTTATCAGCTCCCGCCTCCAATGTGCAGCTACCTACCCCACCTCCGCGAATCATCAGTGAATGAAACTGTGGCAGCTACAACCACTGTACGGCAAGTACGTGGTTATTACAGCTGAAAATGATGATGAGACGCCTGTACGGCCGACGTCGGTGCTAAGCAGGGCCCACAATGCTCCGAATTTTACCCGACCTGATACATCCGGAAATGCGGTTATTGATGTTGAAAATCTCCGACTATTTGTTCCAACTCGAAAACTCAAACCACATGGCCTAAACTCGATCTACCAGAAAAATTAAGTCATTGGTATCCTGATGGGTCACATAAGTCTGGTGGTAGCGGTTGTATTCTGGATCTTCCGTGTGCCTTAGAACTGGCTCTTCAGTGACTCCTAGATCTTCCTCCAGCAACGTTCCCTCCACTGACTAGGTGGGAACGCCAACAGGCACCAACGTCCTCACCAGTGGGAAACACACAACATGCCTCATAGTTTGCTTATAGATTCCATTGTTTTGACCCGTGATGGAGTGCACCGAAAGAAGTCCGAAGAATTTGGGCGGAACCATTGCCACTGGCAACCATTCAAGTCCTCAACTTGTTAGCAACTGTGAGGCAGGAGAAGCGGAGGCCTGAAGCAAGATTGTCCTCACGGACCTTGTACAACTCCAGCTCAAGTACTGACCCTCGAGGAACGTCACTTGGTCATGGAGCGGACTTTGAGTAGCATCGACAGTAAAAAAAATCGTTCAGTTGTAGCACCC